CGCCAGCCTTCTGGTTAGCAGTCAAGTGCTTTAGCCACTATGCTACCAGAGCTCCTCCTAGACATACCCAAACACCTTATAGGATTGATTTACTGGGTTTGAAGGCTTAGGACCATAGTCTCATGGCACAACTAGGTCAACTGGTAAGGTTAGTTCATAAAGATAATATTGTATGTCCTAGTTTGATGAGTAGTGTCTGAGGTCTTAGAAGCTTGTGAGTAGCCATCTAATATATAAGTGTAGCACATACAAACATGTATATACATAGGCCCACACAAAATTACCTATATATACACATGCATGTACTCTCACATGCATTACCATATCCATATAGCATACACATCTACCTATATAACCACTCATGTACTTTTTGTTTGTCATCACTGTTGTTGCAAAGTTGTATAAATTATAGCATTTACTGTAATTGTCCTTTATTCTTTCATACCTCTCAGTAGTTGCTCTATATTTTCATCAATATTAAGTGGTCAATGTTCTTAATTTTAGGCTTTATCATGGGCGTATAATGGTATCTCACTATGGGTTAATTTACATTTCCCTGATGACTACTGATTATTTTCACATGCTTACACATATCTTTTTTTGTTAACTATCTATGTCTTTGCCCATTTTAAAATTGGGTTTGAATATTTGTTTAACCAAAAATTGTTAATATAATAATGTTGGGAATATGGGGAAGCAAAAGAGAAATCAATCTATGGTTAACATAACAGAGGGAAAGTCATTACATATGTCTAAAATTGAAGATTCAAAATATGTAACATTAATCACATATATTTTGAAAATCTGAGATGTATAAATACCTAAAGAAATAACCAAAGGAATAGAAACTGTCTCTGGAGAGAGAAAATGGAGTAGGAAACCTGTATCTTACTGAATCTTTTAGTATTTTTTTTAAGGCTGTACATATGTATTACTTTGATTAAAAAGAGACTTCCAAGTAAATAATAACTTACTGAATCTATAATCACTGAGTCCGGTGTTCTTCCAGTGAACACAAAATTCAGTTGCTTGGCAGCTCTAACCAGTGCTCCTTCATCTATTTTAGGAAAACAGGTGAAAGCAAATGTATGAGGAAAAGAATATCTAAAACACAATAGAAATTTACTAATATATCACACTTTTTGGTTTAATCAAAATTCTTTTTATTCTGGTCCATTACTGAAATCCTTTTCTTTGTAATTATATGAGAAGACCAAAGGAAGGAGAAGAATAAAAGAAACTGAACGATCTTAAGTATCTGAGACAGTTATAGACCCAAGAGTCGTATTTCTGAATGTTAAGTTTCACTGTTAGGCATACATACCTAAAAAGGATTATTTAAAAGTACCCCTTGGTCTAGTATATCCTCTAGAAACCTTTCACAAAATGAATAGAACAAAATTTCTTTCTTAAGTTTTATTCTTTTTCTTCCCAAAAGTTAAATGTTGAAAAACTAATACTACTAATTAAAGTTTCAATTTATGTGGATTTAAATAAATTGCAGTTTTTAAGAATTATGTATTAATTACTCTCCTCACCATGATGTGTTAAACCCTTCCTTACTGACAGCAGGACAGGAGAAGAAAACATCCACATAGTTTGTAACCTAACAATGTAAGATGTAATATTTCTCAAGATTTTTAGGTATTTGGTACATTCTACAAGGTCACAGGTGCTGGTTTAGGATCCAGTTTACTTTATGAAAAAGTTTCCAAAGTGTGTTCCTTTTATCCTAAAATTTTACAATCACTGAATTGACTACTCACTTAATTTTATACTGAAAACAGGTCTAAAATTGAGCTTAAATGTTAAATACAGATAAATGTACTAATAAATATTTTATAGACTCTCTCCCACACTCATACATACACAACAGGACCTTGACTACCATTTCTAAAAGCAGAAAGTAAAATTGGGGCTCTAAAATTATACATAGTCACCATTTTTAGACAAATAAATATTCCTTTACTTGACAATTTAGGACAAATATTTTACACTGAATTAACTATAAGGAAGAGAAAAACTTCTGTATATGTATCAGTATTTTTCTCACTTGTATAAATTTGGCTATTCTAAATTTTAATTCAAATTTCCATGTAACTTAAGTCATATTCAAAAAATTACATATACAAAGTTATGTATTTTGATCTATATCAATTTAATCCTGAAATTTAAGGTTCTTCTAATTAGTAAATAATTTTTTTTCCCCCATAAAACACCTACTCAGTTTGGTTATCTCACTTTTTTAAAGTAAGTTGATTTTTTTCCTAGACAATTCTAAATCTTAGAACATTTTTCCACCAAAAAATACATGACAATGGCTTCCTTTTACCTGGAGATGCTGCTTGATAAATAATCTTATCACCTTCTCGCTCTGGGACTGCTGTGTGACAGACTGCCATCATTGTAAGAAATTCACATATTATAGGCGCAGTTGGCTATAAAATATAAACATTTACTTTAGCCCTTTTCATTTAAGCATTTGACACCAATAATAGTAATATAACTTCATCTCTATTAAGAGCATAGCCATTAAGAGTTGGGGGGGGTATGGGTTTATACCAAGTAAAAAACCAAAACCAACTACGAAGAAAAAATATTTTTAACTTGTATCATTGATTCTCATAGTCTCCCATTCACTCACTCAACATTTTATGAGACAACTTTGTGTTGTCAAATTGAGATACACAGTAAAAAAGGGCAAATATAATGGAATCCTGGCCTCAGAAGACAGAGAAAAATTCTAAAATGTTAGAGCCCACCTTTCTCCACTTGAGAAAGACTTGGCAATGTTTCCATAAAGATTACATTGAAGATGACCTTATGGGGCAGTTCTACTCTGTCACATGGGCTTGCTATGAGTCAGAATCCACTTGATCGTATCCAACAACAACAGTTCCTGATCACATTTAAACTTTAGGCATCTAACCTTGATGCACTTACCGATGAACATCAAAGCCTATCGTTTTCCATATGGCTTACAACTCAACATAAAGAAAATGAAAATCAAATGGACCAATAAGTAACATCATAATAAATGGAAAAAAGATTAAAGTTGTCAGGGATTTCATTTCACTTGGATCCAAAGTCAACACTCATGGAAGCAGTAGTCAGGGAATGAGACATTGTATTGCACTGGGAAAATCTGCTGCAAAAGACCACTTTCAAGTGTTCAGAAGCCAAGATGTCATGTTGAAGACTAAGATGTGCCTGACCTAAGCCATGGTATTTTCAATCACCTGATATGCTTGTGAAAGCTGGACAATGAATAAGGAGGACTGAAGAAGAGTTGATGCCTTTGAATTGTGGTGTTGGCGGAGAACACTGAAAACACCATGGACTGCCACAATGAACAAATCTGTCTTGGAGGAAGTGCAGCTGGAATGCTCCTTAGAATTGGAGCATTACCTACTTTGGTCATGTTGTCAGAAGGAACCATTCCCTGGAGAAGGATAGCATGCTTGGTAAAGTAGTGGGGTCAACTAAAACAAAGGAAGACCCTTAATGAGATGGACAGACGTGGTGGCTGCCGTGATAGGCTGAAGCACAGAAAGGACTGTGAGGACAGCACAGGACTGGGCAGTTTCATTCTGTCGTACAGAGGGTCTCTGTGAGTCAAAGGCAACCTGATCACACCTGACACCAACAACAATCCTGAAGTAGTTCCATTTGGGGGGAATCCTTAACTTGATTCATGTTTTACTAAGGAAAAAAAAAAAAAAAGGTTTGAGCAGTTTCTATGTACAATGGATTATTTTAGGTCAAGAAAGACATAAAAATAGATTATATAATTTAATGTAAGGAGTTCTAAGCCTAAAGGAGAAAAGAAATTAGATATTTTTAATTAAACATCTTCTTGTCTGGCTCACAATGAGCGAAAATGTCATTCATATCAATAAAGAAACATATGCCTCCATGCTCTTGGGCAGAAAAAAAAAAGATAAAGTGATTGGAAACGGTAAATTAGAAGATTATCTGGATAAAACCTGTTCAGGCTAGAACCACGGACAAAACAGGCATGGTTCTCACCACCATGACGTTTAGATTTGTGGGGAAAGTAGTACACAATTAAACATATGGGAGTTATTTTGAGACTGGTTGTAAAGAATAGAATGTGCAAATATCACATAATGGTAGTTGGGGGAATCTGTGACTGTTCTCAAGAAAATGTAATACTTAAGCTTATGAGACTTTAAATCTATTGCCGTTGTGTCAATTCTGACTCATAGCAACCCTACAGGACAGAACAGAACTGCCTCATAGGGTTTCCAAGATTGTAAATCTTTATCAAAGCAGACTGCCACATCTTTCTACTGTGGAGTGGCTGGTGGGTATGCACCACTGATCTTTTGATGTTAGCCTCATGAAAGACTGAGCCAATAATATTCCATTAAGCAGGAATAGGACAGTGAGTGCAAAGGCCCTAAAGAAGAATGAACATATTTCAACATATTTGAGAAAATAAAAGGCCAGTATAGCACAAGGAGAAAGGGTAAGAGTGGCTCAAAGCAAGGTTGGTGATATAGGCAGGAGCCAGATCATGCAACTTTGTAAGTTAAGAGGGAATGATTTAAACAGGGTAGTGATGGGACTGGATTTCCATCTATATCATTACAGGGACCATGGGCAATTAGAAATGGAGGCGAATAAAATGGAAATAAGGAGATTGGTTAGGAGGCTACTATAATGATCCACATAGGGGATGATAGTGGTCTGGACCAGATAACAGAAGTGAAGGTGAAGGAAAGCAGACACATTGAGAATGTAATCCAGGGGACTGACAAGGGTTTGGTGACTCATTATAGATCTGGAGGTTGAGGGAAAGGGAGGTGTCAAAGGTGACTCTTAAGTTCCCAAAAAAGAGTAATAGGATGGGAGGTGGTGTCAGTCCTGAAAGCACAAGAGGGAAAGGATAGGTCTAGAACTCGATTTTGCAGAGTCTGAAGCTGGTATTATTTAGGGGTTCTCTTTAAGAAACAGGGAGCTCTGGTAGCATAGTGGCTAAGACACTTGCCTGCTAACCTGACGGCTGGTGGTTCAAACCCACCAGCCACTCCTCGGAAGGAAGG